TACCAGGATTGTCAACAAGCCTCAAAGATGCCACCACACCAATCACCAGTTCCTTGGCATCCGCCAGCAAAACCGTGGTCTCGAGTGCACATCGATTACGCTGGTCCCATCGATGGCATTTCCTACCTGGTCATGGTCGACGCCTATTCCAAATGGCCGGAAGTGGTCGCCGTCAACCCACCAACCGCATCCGCCACTCTGGCTTGTCTCCAACGAATCTTCAGTCAACATGGCCTTCCCGAGGTGTTGGTGTCCGACAATGGTACCCAGTTTACGTCTTCCGTCTTCGAGGACTTTTGCCGCCGACACTGCATCGAACACCTCCGCTCACCGCCTTACCATCCCCAATCCAACGTCAAGCGGAGCGATTTGTCGACACATTCAAGAGGGCGCTTTTGAAATCTCGCGGGGAGGGGACCGTGGATGAGTGTCTTCAGGCCTTCCTGCTCTCGTACCGGTCCACACCGAATCCAGCTACGCCAGGAGGCCAGTCACCAGCTGAAGCATTGATGGGCCGCAAGCTACGCACAACCAACGAAGCGCTCATTCCGACTGAGAAGCCACCTATTCACTCTGGTCCCTGCAACAAGCACAAAGAATTCGTCGTTGGAGCCCCGGTCTACGCTCGAGATTACAGAGCAGGTCATCCTCGCTGGATCGAAGCAACAGTGACGGCCAGGCGAGGTGACATGCTGCATGATGTCTCCGTAGGTGATGACACCTGGGTTCGCCATCGAAATCAACTTCGTCCGCGCCACGAAGAAACCTCCATGCCAACCAGCCATCCCGTGCGCCTGCCGCTGCACATCCTGCTGGATACTTTCGGATTGGCCACACAACGACAGAGCACGGTCGAAGCCGCTCAGTCGCCGCCGCATCTCGAGAACCCACCTTGCCGACGAACAGAAAGAATCCGGAGGTCACCGAAATCCCTCCAGGTCAATCCTCGCCAGAAGCGGTACTCTCTCTCTTCAAAGGGAGGTGTTGCGGGCCCGTCAAAAATCCCCGCAAAAACGCGCCAGTAACTCCGGCATAATGGCTGTGGGAAGCGGAGTCCAATTTCTCCCCACAACGCAGCAGTGTTCAGCCACTCCGAGGCGCGTCCCAACTGCGAACCTTTTGACAATGCTCATTTGCAATCTACCACCTCTGCGTGGGGACTGTTTTTCCTAACTTAATAACCCATAGCACTGACTGTGATCGCCCTTTGTCGGTCGTAAAAGAGCCTACAGAGGACCACTTGTCTTTTCTTTCTCTTCGCCTCAGTTGGGAGTCGGTCGGGTCGCGTGATTGCGTGTGAATCGTTAGCTGGCCAGCCTTCGCGTCTAAGTCATTAGCGCGCGTCTATCGTACCCCCTCTCGTGTGCGTCCGTTTTCGAGGCCTCAGCGTCTATACGAACAAGTGCGGCTAAGATCGTTCCCACGCTCGTTCAATTTTCCGTCTCACCGGCTAAGCTAGCGTCATCGTAGGCGTGCTCCAACCGTGCGAGCGACAATCTTGTCACGCAATTACCTCAAGAGGCGGCGTTCCCTCAATTATAACAATTATGGATGAAGGTGGCAGGTGAACCGGATGCTGACTGAACTCACTTCTGAGTCACCAGCCTGTCTAAATGGACTCGTCGAAAGTGGATCTCTGGAGCTCCCAACAGTTTGAAGCGAGAAAGATCATGCTACGGAGTAGTCAATTTCAGTGTTTGCAACGCTAGAATGGTGTCTGATCGATCGACAGCACTGTTACGCTATTTGTTGTGGCGGATTACGGTCCCAACTCACCCGAAGCGCATGTCCAAGATCTCCGGTGATGGAACAGGAGAATTTACTTATTTTCAGACCCACTAACTACAAAGCTGTATGGGGCATTTAAAACAGCAAATTCCCCTTATTATACCAGACAAGACCTAAGCTGTGGCATGACAGTCGGTTGGTGCAAACTTGTCAAGTACAAATATGCACAATCTCATTGTCGGTGTCTCAATCAAACACATAGGCACGTATCTTGTTGACGTGAGCAACCACAGTTCAGCTATATTATACGCCCTTTTCACTGTAGCGCTAATCCGTTTTGCGGTGGTTTTCAAAACGTGAGCATCATTAAACAGCAGCTCGATGAAGATAGACTTCTTTTGGATCGTTGACGCATACTCTCACTTGGCTGTGTTGCTGAGGCGTTTTGTAAGTTCGACGGATAACCGTTGGACTGTAGCGTCTCGAACAGCCGATATTCTTGTGTGTCCGGGGTGCAAATCATGTGGGCACCCATAACCCATAAATGTACGGTCTGACCAAAGTGTACAAACCAGGGATGCATATGCGACTAATTATCTCCATCGTCGGTTCCACCGTACCACGTTGCTGCCAAATGACTGAACAGTATGCTTGAAACAGTCAGAAGACACTTTTAGGCTACTTTCTTACCTGGAATGTGTCAATTTGAGAGCGAACGTGTTCACTTGACACACAATGCTTCTTCTCCCACGTCCCGTTGAACGAGAGTATTGATTACCACTGTGAGGTTATCTTAAAGCATAATATTAAGCTGCATGTAGTTCCCCACGGCAATATTGCAGCACATACCTTTTTTAGGGAAAGGCATGTCGACAGACGGTGTGACGATGGGTAGCCCACTAGGCCCGTTGATCGCAGATGCATACATCGACATGCTTGAAGAGCAAGCAGATGATATAAAATCGGCGACACTGTACCAACGTTTTGTTGATGATAGACTTCCTATCGTGGATTTCGATGAAGGATTTGTGTATGCGACCGAGACACACAACAGTACGAATTCGAACCTATCAGTGACGTATGCATACATACTGATCATACGGTGATTGGATAATTCGATCAGATGATTAGTCTTCTGAAAAGCGACCTGGACAGGTCAGTATTTGCGCTTTAAGAGCTCATTCCAGACCATAGTTTTTATTCCGAGGCGCATGATTTTTGTACCCGACACGACTAAAGAAGATAGGGGAATATCTGTAGTATTCGACACGCTAAACAATCCCAAAAGTTATCCGTTGCAACTTACAGAGCCACAGCGACACAGCCAAGCAAGATCGTGCACCAACACTCCAAAAGAAGTGCGTCTTTATCGAGGTGCCGTTCAAAGGTGCTCACAGTAAAAAAAATCCCCGCGAAACAAATTGGTGCTTCAATGAAATGGGCACACAATGCAGCTGAACTGTGGGTGCTCACATCAACAAGATCTCTGCCTGTGTTCCATTAAGACACCGACAACGATACAGTGTATGTACTAATGTTTCTAAAAATTCACTTGCAGCTGCGGAGACAGCTAGGTTGGGCACACTGACCGAAAGTTTTATTAGGTAGTCAAGGGCAATAACGCATTCCCAAAGTGTATACGCAGCCGGATGGGATCGGTGACAGCTGAATGGGACGAACTGAGAAATTGACCTGCCTCGCGCGTGGGCCCTCCGCGCTCGGCGGCCTCGGGGTGTCGTCCTCGAGCCGACGTGGCTCCCGACTGACGCTGGGCTCGGGCCGGGTCGGGGCCATATCGCTTCGTACTCGCGCGGGGTAGGGGCAATCATAAGGCACTTGTTGAGCGCTGCCCATTAAATCAATCTCGATGAGGTATTCACTGTCCTGATGTGCGGTCAGTGATCCTACATTTTTAGACCATTGGAAGTCATCGATGAAAAACAGCCACTGCTGTGCGTGCATAAACAGCTGGCTATGAATCTAAACTTACCATGGTAGCGCGGAGCGCACAGATTGGCCACCGACAGGATAGCTGTCGATTTCATATAATTGCACTTTTGTATATCTATCGTTAATCGCATGGTTGTGATAGTAAGTATGCATGAAACGACTGACTGATCTTACGGCTTACGCTTTATTGTTTGGCAATGCAAGACACTTTGAAAAGCAAATAGACACCGCTGCTCTTTTCAACCATTCCATCCATTCATTTAGAACACAGACGCCTACAAATATAAACCAGTGCAGTTGAGAACTTAACAATTTGTAATGGAGGAATCCGACGATATTCTTTCTAACGGTTGCCAGCCGAAGTGGTGATGGCTACTTAGTTGTTCGGTATAGTATCACATGGCACATTGGGAGATGCCTCCAGGCCGGAGGCTGTTGGCTGCTGTCTCCACCCGCGAGGAAGGTCCCTAATGTTGTGAAAGAAGGACTGGAGATTAAGTCATATCGAAACCACCCACGAAATTATCATACATCATCCAAAGAGGACTCATTGGTCCTCAAGAAAACAAAAGCACTTCTAGTGATACTGGATTCCGCCTTGACATAAAATTCGTCGAACATCTCGTAAGGCTCTTGAGTAAAGCCAAGCGTACAGACGGCATACAATGGTCACCTTCCTCGATCCGAAGACCACTTTTGCTTCGTCTGATCGCGTGCGTTTGCGAGGCTGTCTTTACCTAAAGGACGTGCCTGTGAAGTGTAATTTCATTCTGAACTGCCAACTGCGACTCTCAGAGCTGTGTACAGGTCAAATAAGGGTTTTTCGCTGCATTCACAACGACAGGTGGTGTAAGCAGAGGTGGTGCTGTTTCCTCTCTTCTATTCAACTTCGTGATCAAAGAGATCACGGACGACTGCGTTCAGTCTGGCAGACAAGCTTGGAGTGAGCCGACAACATAGTCCTCATTGGGTCAAACGAAGAGCATTCGCAAGCGACTTTGGAAATCAGGTAGAGTAAAAAGTGCATCAGTACGTGTCTGACATCTCCGAAGCGTGAGGTATTGGTGTAGGGCTAGGCCGAACGTATGTAGCCAAATCGTCATAGAGTATATTGCGCAGTTTTTGCGGGTGCCTAAACGAAATAGGAACCTAAGATATTTCGCTGTGTCCAGTCGGGATCCCAGGAAACTTATTTAAAGTAGATCAGCCGCGTTAGCCTAGCTTAGTCAGCTTAGATAGTTGAGCGATTTTGGCTGATTTAAACGCTCTTGTTTTATACTTCAACCAGCTGGATACACGAGTGGGTTTACATCCTAATCCTCCTCGGTTAGCGTCCAAATATTCCATGCCAGTATCATACGTCAATTTGTAATAAATCACAATAGGTGCTAAGTTCAGGATCTTACGCACTGGGACACTCAGAGTGCAACAACCAGACAATTGGATGAATGAAGTCACCAGTTTTCTCTGTCATATTTTGATTTCGTCACCTATACCAAATTACAGTTGTGGTGTGGTACAATTATGTATCCCTTCTTTGAAAACACAACAAAGTTGTCACATCAACACTCGTGGATCATGTGACTTCAGTTTCGGAAACGGCATACTGAATCCAAGATCAAAGATACGGTTACTGAGTGTTGAAGAGATTGGGAATCCTCGATCACTGGCGCCAACAGAGCATCCCTCGAATCTGATGGGTGAGGAACAGATTGTGCTGGGCCATCCCAGCTAACGTGTGATGGCCCATTTATTTATTCGTCAAGTTTACTTTTGTTAACGTTGATGATATTAGTAGTAGTGTTGTCACGAGGGTACGCCATGGCAACTGGATTCACAGCTTGTCGGGGGGGTATCCGAATCATCGTTGATCGTTCGAATCGAAAGGAGCAAGCACAGGTAGACTAGGCGATGCACACACACACACACACACACACACAACCGGTAGAGCGCTAGTGTGCGTGTGTTGTGGGAAAATCTCAACCAAACAGAATGTGAGAAGCGGATGAACAGCAGCAACGAAGCAGACAGATGGGAGCAGAAGACGAATGGTATACGAAAGGTGACTGGTCGTCTGCACAATCCGGCCGATAAAGGTGCCATGTGATTAGGCGCTAAACGATGAACACCTTCATAGGAGCAGAATAAATGGAATGTAGAGTGTATATTCATACAAAAGAGAAGGGAGATACGAAACAGTTGGTGTGTGGCACAATAAGGACTTACGTCATCAAAAAACCTGTCCAACAGGACGGCGTTCCACGAGTTGGGAGCGATGTACGATGCGGAATTACAGCACTAAAAAGAAAAAGCGAGGGAGAACACGTAGAACTTGACATCGAAGCTAAATTAAAACCAGTAAGAATGAAGACGGAAAATCCTGAAGAGCGTGGAGACGACGTTACCAAGCTACTTAGATCAGTTCCGGGGATGCGAGCACACGCCAGTTGAACTGAATAGCAACGACGTAAACCAAAACGTTCATTTATGGGTGGACGGATTCATAACTTTTGACAACCACTGAAAATGGCGATACGAACAATGTGCGGTTCCGGATGCACGGTGCCAGTCGCCAATAAATTAAGGTCAGCCATCTACATAAGCAAGGTCCGTTAAGGCAGGACTGGTGTCCGCGGTACATCAATGCTCTGCGCTGATGTTTCGATGCTATGTAACTGCAGGCGGCTCTTCATCAGCTAAGGGCACCCAGAGCCATGCGGGAGCTTGTACTTGAGCCCGAAGCGTAAGGGCTGCAAGACATACATCTTAACTTCTACACAGTGGCTGCGGTGGGAATCGGCATCTCAACGATTTTAGCACCTCGGTGAAATTTCCTCGAGGAAATAATATGTGCAAAAAAACGGGTGAAGATGTCAAAGATATCTGGAGCATTCAGACCTTTTAGGAACCTAGAGGCCGAACACCACAACGGCGTAGAATAAGCAATGCTCTGTGCGATGGACCGTTTACTTGACGAACATAAGCTCCGTTCTGCTTCATTAGGCGGGTCCACGTGTGATAGGCTTAGTCGAATTAACCAAGACCATGGAAACGAATATACAGACAAGGCACAAAAACAGACTACATTATTAATCCGCTTCTGCGCCGATGGACACGTGGATTTCATCGTTATAACGGGCAGCTAAGGACGTAAGAACACGTGAAAATCAGCGTCTTGCTATCTGGAGTACTGGTATTAGTAGAGCGACCGATCGATGAAACTATGATGATGAACCAGTGCGAATGATGAATTAGAGATTTTCTTCGGAGGAATAGGATAAGCGAAAGAACAACTGCAGACGCTGCCGTGCTTAGAAGAAGGAAACCTTCAGTGGTGCTGAACGTTACGGACTTCGTGATCCGTGTAAGCTGTTCATTAGTTTATTATTGGATCTTGGAGTACCTGCTGTGTCTGGATCGAGACATGCAATCTCGATTGAGGCTACAGTTTGCTTCGAAACAAACCAATTCCATTCCGATCAGTGGGACCGCATCCGAAGTGGAGAGTTTCGGAGCCGCAGTTTTGGGAGAAAGTAGCTCCGAAACTTCCCACTCTTCAGTACTTCATGAATCGAGCTGATTACATAAACTCTCGCAGCCTCCGTGCATACTCGTGTGCAAAATTAACACATCCTTTTAAGCGAGATCATCATGATTACAACATCCCTTAACCAATAACGACAATTGGTGGAAGCGTCATATAGGCAATAGCTCACCAACAGTATTTCCGGAAAACCCATCTCAAGGGCAAGGTGCTCCGTTTTTCGACTCGAACCTTTCAACAGAGAGGATGGACTGATTCCGCTCAAGTTGACATATACGCTTCCAGTACGTGGTTGACGCGCAGCATCGTTTACGTGCGGTCTCATGAGAACAGATGAAGCATCTTGAGTGTCGACCTGGTGGTGGTTACTTGAGAAGGCGGAGCCATGGGGGACGTTACACGCCGTTCCGTTGCTACCTTCTCCAGTACGCTTGGTGATTTGCAGCCGCGTAGTGGAGTCCAGAAGATCGATCTTTGTTCCGACAACCAACACCGGGAAGGGCAAAGCAGAAGAGTGGTTTGATTTGGCATAAACATCATCACACTTGTTGTCTAAGTATCGTAGTCCAACATTAGAGGCGACATCGAGAAGTGACCAACTGGAGAACAAGTTGGACACTTTTCCGGATGCGGAAGATCCCAGCGAAGCGACAGAATCCGAGCTAAGAAATGGCATGAAAAAAACTGGTAGACCGAGCAAGATGACAATACAAGTCGCAGAAGGTGCAATAACAACTCGTTTGTCGTAACGAAAAGAGCAGACATGCTGCCACTGTTAGATCTTCACGTTTTCATGCTATTCCGAATCAAACACTCAAAAAATTTTCCGCAAAAATTCTAGCCCAGCCGAAAAAATCAAAAGTCTAATGACCTTCACCACGTGTCAACAAAAACGCCGCCAAAACGCTGCACAACAACGCAGACCTACGCCAAATATATTGGGGGCTCAATGACCTTCGAACTATAGAAAACGAAGGTCAACTGGTGAAATTAGCAGCCTCCCTGCCAAAACATTGTATGCTGGCGATCACGTGAAGGAATGGAAGGTTTCGGAATCTTCGAAATCAATGCACGATCGAAGATAATCGATTAATTGTTAAAATAATGGGTTTTGCTTTATGTTTTTACTTCCCGGATACCTCCCCTCCTGAAACGGCTGCCGCGGTGTATGATGCTAGCCTGGGATTGACTTGAAGCCTCCTGGAAGGGGTTCTACGCCTATCGGTCCATCGCCTTGGCTATAGTGTTCTGGACTCAAGTTCCGTGCTCTGCGGCCTGGTATCATTCGTTTGATGACATGGTTCTTCGACGGGCTGTTTAGGCAAGTTGAAGCTGTCCGTCAACAGGTCAAATGGAAGCTCGGCGGATTCTGTTGCTTGTGGCTGACGCAGTGTTGGTCGCAGTTGGTTCGCATGGCGTAGCCATACCTGCGTTCCAACCGGCACGTTGTAAGTGACGTTCCCACGCTTGTCTTGGATCGTGCCTGGCGTCCATTTTGCGTGTCATTCCCGCTAACTACGTACAAGTACTGGCTGACCCGGTTTGAACGAACGTCGCTTAGCACCATACCGCCGATTAAAGTCACGTTCCATCTTGAGGTTCCTTTCACCAGTTGTGGATTCTGAGGACGGCCGAACTGCATCAAATGGCATACGAAGCTTTCACTTCATCATTGCCTCTGCTGGTGATATTCCACCCGGCGATTGTGGATTTTGTGTAGATCAGTACAGAAAGTGGAAGCGGTCGATCATCTCCTCTATGTCTCCCTCCTTGATTTGAGGAGAGCGCGTATGAATGTATCCACAAATCTCTCCCCACCACCCAAAGGGTGGTATGGTGGAGACCGCTCGTGTTTGATGGCGCAGCGTTTGCAGAACTCCGTGAATGTGGCCGAAGTAAACTGTGCTCCATTGTCCGTCACCAATGTTTCAGGGTAGCCGAACCTGCTAAAGATTTGTCGCAACCTCGAGACTGTTGTGCTGATTTTCGTGCTTCTCATGAGGGACACTTCGGGCCACTTGCTGTAAGCGTCGATCACTATGAGAAAGTCCTGGCCATTGATTGGGCCTGCAAAGTCGACAAGAGCACGGCTCCAAGGTATAGTTGGTTTAGGCCACGAGTAGAGTTCAGTCTTCGGCGGTGCGCCTGAAGCGGTAGCGCAGTTGCCACAACTTCTAGCTAGCTGCTCCAGCTGTCTGTCCATAAACGGCCAATACAAATAACTTCGGGCAAGCGCTTTCATTCGGTTAAGCCCTGGAGGTCCTGCATGGAAATGCCGCAGCATTCTTTCTTTCAACGCCTGCAGGATGACTACTCTCTCCCTCTCTCTCTGAGAACATGACGCAATCGTTCACAATGGAGAGCGAATGTCTTCGCTGATAGAATTGCTGCATTTCGGCAGATGAACACAAACGTGGCCAGCTAGTTCTGTGGAAGTGTGTAACCTTCTTCAGGATTGGATCTCGAAGCGTTTCGGCCCGCACAGCATCGGCCGTAACAGGCAGACCATGTAATGCCGCACTTACCAGGAATTTGACATCAGGTTCGATCTTAACTGAGGCTATGATGGTGTCCTCGTGTGCCTGCTGGTGGGAATCAATGAGACGTGACAACGCATATGTCTGGCCCATCAAAACCGTTGACTGATATCGGATGTCAAAATCATAGCCCAGGAAGGTGAGTGTCCATCGTTAGAGTCGATCGGCTGTATAGGCAGGAATTCCCTTCTTGGAGCCGAAAATGGCCAGCAGCGGCTTGTGATCCGTCAAGAGTTTGAAGCGGTGAACATACAGCATCTTGTGAAATTTCTTCACAGCAAACACTATAGCCAATACCTCCTTGTCGATCTGACTGTAGTTTCTTTCAGCTTTCGTTAGCGTCCTGGCGGCATGCGTGATCGCCTCCTGAGATCCATCTGGGAGGCCGGCTTGCCGAACAACCTCGTGGTGCCAGCTGGGTGGTTCGGAATTATCCCGTTCCAGTGAATAGTTCGGCGGCAGTGTTCCAGGACGTGGTGGGTTTTCGCCTGGCAAGCGTTCTCCCTATAAAAAGCCACATATGTGCGTTTAACAACACTGTAACGTGGCGGATGTGACTCGCCACTAAATAAAACAACTGCCCCTTGCCTCTCTGAGTGGCATCGTAATTCAAGGGTGTGTTAGGCCCCTGGTCCTATGCGGTCCTAAAGGCGTATGAACCACTCGTTTGGTCACCGGCACCAAACGGGTTGCGATACCCTCATATCGCCCTGTTGCTTTGTCGGCTAGATCCTCGATCAAAGGCTCAGGGTGGGGCCCCTAAGACAACCCTCTATTTCGGCCTGGGCAACCGGGTAGCATCTCGCCCACTGACGAACCATGGACTTACAACCACAACCATTCACTCGCTCTCTTGCTGCTACCATGCTATTCACTCATGTCACTATGCCAACTGCACAAGCACACGCCACCATTTTACCTACCCTTCCCTTGCACCACTCACACTTATACCTGATTCCTCCACCTACACTGATGAACATGTTCCCGTGACATCTGCCAACTCAACCACACAGTACTCGACAGAGAGCTGCCGGTCCCAAAATCGCCCATCATCGCTCCTGCAACCCGGAACGCAGTTCAAACTTGCAGCCTTCAACGTACGCACATTACTGCAGATCGGTCAGCAAGCTGGACTTGCACGCTCGCTAGAGACCCTTGGAATTGATATCAGCTGCCTGACTGAAACACGACTCCAGGACTCTAACTTGGTTTACCAACTGGTGTCACCGCTCCACCCACGCACCCGTTTTCATTTATGCCTCTCTGGTGACGCCGAGTCTGCCGCATCTGGGCAAGCTGGTGTTGGAATCGCCCTCAGTGCTAGAGCCGAAACTGCTTTGATTGATTGGATTCCGATCAATAGCCGCATTTGTGTGATAAAGCTCCATGGCTCTTGTAAAGTTAGCAGATGTCGAGTCTAAAAGCGTGCTCTCTTCGAGATCTCTGCCTACGCGCCCACTGACTGTAGCTCGGACACCGACAAACACCAGTTCTACCAGAAGCTTCATGAGCTGCTCCTAAGGGCTCCTAAAACAGACATCATTATTTTGGCAGGTGACTTCAACGCGCGTATCGGTCGTCTGCTGCCATGTGAGTCCCACCTCGTGGGACCGCATGGATATGATGATGTTCGCTAAGACAATGGAGAGAGACTGCTCAGTCCGTGTGCTGATCATCAACTATTCCTCTCCAGCACCAGCTTTCGTCATCCCGGACGTCAGTACGCCAGTTGACGCCCCCATCATCAACCCAGCGCTGGTCGCAGATTGAACACATAGCCATAAGTTGCAGGTGGCGCGGCAGCGTACGCGACTGCCGATCATTTCGGTCAACATGCGTCGATACTGATCAAGCACTGGTGTGTGCGACCGTTTGCATGCGTTTCGATGGTTCGCTTAGGTCAAAACACACCCGACTGAACACCTACAAGTTGGAGGACCCAATGGTGAAGAAAGAGTATCAACAAAGGCTTCGTGAAAATCTCTGGTCAAGTCTGCAACAAGCCTTGCTGTCTGCCGGTTTGTCCAGCTGTGGCCACGCTCGCTCCACTTCTAAAAGCTGGATCTCGGGAAGATCCTCGGAATTGCTGGATCGCCGACTGGTGGTGGCTGCTGGCCCAGAGTACAACGAACACCGCCGGTCTATTACGCAGTAGCTGAAAGCAAGTCTTCGCTCTGATCGTGAATTTTGGTGATCAAAACAAGCTAATGAGATGGAAGCCGCTGCATCAGCTGGCAACTTTCGCTGTCTAATTTATATCAGGGCCACTGGTTGCAATTTCTATGCTATCAGCCAGACGATTTGCGAGGCAGACGGCACGAAGATCACCATCTTTCACAGGCGATTGGATCGCTGGGCAGAGCATTTCGCTCTTCAATTCAACCACGCAACACAGCCCCATGTGACACCTCCAGCCCCAATGTATGATGCTTGGCCTGCCTCCACAGCCCTCCAAATGAAACAGAGATTCGAAATGCAATCCACTATTTGAAACGCCACAAGGCTCCAGGTCCCGACAACCTACCACCGGCTCTATTCAAAGACGATGGGAGTGTACTTGTCAGCGAAATCCTATCGCTGTTCAAGAAGGTTTGGACTGATGAGAAGGTTCCGAACTCATGGGGAGAATCGGTCATTGTTCCGATTCACAAGAAGGGTTCCCGCGCCGATTGAGAACTACTGCGGAATCTCGTTAATCTCTGTCGCATTCAAAATCTTCGTGTCGGTCCTACTTAGCAGGCTTTCAACGACTAGAGAGGAGTTTTCCCGAGAAGAACAAGCCGGATTTCGTCCAGGCTGCGGCTGCATCGACCAAATCTTCACGCTTCGGCAAGTTCTCGAACTTCGTCACATTCACGGGCGGCCAACAGTCGTAGTGTTTTTGGACATCCGAGCGACATTTGATTCAGTAGATAGATCTGCGTTGTGGAACTGTTTACTGAAAAAAGGTGTGCCCGACAAGTTTGTAACTATCCTGAAAGAACTTTACAGTCACCTATCGGGCAAAGTCATGGCTTACGGCACGCACTCTTCTTCATTTGCTGTGACCAGCGGTGTTCGCCAAGGTTGCCCTATTTCACCTTTCCTCTTCAATTTCGCCATCGAAGATGTTCTCCAAAGAGCAC